TCGAATTAGCTGCAGCTGCTTCTCTCAGTGATATTTCTTGAGAAGAAATCTCATCTATCGAAAGTAACTTTTCATTACAAATTACGAACTCATTACGGGTTTTTTTAAAACTCATTCCACCCTGTGGGCACTAAGAGGGCTTTTTTTTGCAGGCCCATTATGGGCTCGGCCAGGCCCACAATGGGGCTGCCTGGTGGTGAGGGACGGGGTCCGACATATCCGAACGGACCACCCCCGAAAAATTCAAGGGGATTTTTCGACCCGTTAGGATTCGAACCCGGGTTCTCCAGAGCGCTCCAGAGCCGGGTCCACCTTGACCGCTCGGCCATCCGGCCGCTCATTACGGGTATAAAGCTGCTTGAAGGTATCATTTTTGTTTGTTAATTTATAAAAGTCGGAGTCTTCTATTTCAAAAACAACCGCCAACACATTTCAGGCATCTGTACGGCCACGGTCGACATCAAGAACTTGTATTCGCACGGTATTACCAATTTGAACAGAAGAAAATGGCGAAGAATTTGGCGACAGACTGTCGCCTCTCTGTCGACATCGGCTTCTCGGGTATCGTTTGACCTCCACCAAAGCTTATCAGTGCTTGCTGACATACACAGGCGATTGTTCGAATGTACAATAATATAACCAAATATTCGGTCTTTCACCAACGTATTTTGTATTTGTCGACATTCACCGGAGAATATCGACATTCTCTAATTTCGGTCTTTCACAGTAACATATACACGGTTCAAACTGCTTATCTCAAACACGTTTATTTCGAAATTTATTTTCTCCTTCGTTTTCAGCCGAAATTCAATATATTTTCCACATTTATCGCAAATAATTTTCTTCCAAACCCTCTATATCTCAAATTATAAACTGAAGTGTCAATTACAAATTAAAAGCTCGCGACTCCATTTTGGTAGCATAAATTGTAGTTGAGAAACATCGCTCGCAATACGGTACAAAGTTACAAGTAGCTTAATGCTGCTTTTCTCTGACTGACTACGTCTTATTGGTTGAAGAAAGTCGGCCATCACAAACTATTCCTGTTAAGGTATGTCAAAAATGTTTTTACTTAACACAGGTATTAGCTAACCTGTATTAAGTATGAATAAAACATTTTTGACATTTCCAAAACAACTGTACTTACTATTGTACTAGTAAAATACCATATCTTCAATCAAACCTGTTATCGTTTACTATGTGGGAACCTCTATATCATGAAACCTGTCTATCTCCAATCTGTCGAGATAGACAGGTTATATGTATCTATATTTGTCTATTCCAATTAATTGGAATTAAAAAAGTAAAGTAATATTTATTAATTAAATATATTCATAATGCGTGGAAATTCTTATTATTTCATTTTGACCTGAATTTCACTTATTCATTTTATTAATAGTAACTACAATTGGAAAGCTGAAGTGCAAATTTTTTTTAAAAAAGAGAGACTAAAAGAAATGATAAATTTTCGCGTAAAAAGTGCTCCTAAAAAGGTATAGGCCCTAGGTGGGGAACCTACGGCCTCGAGGCCGCATGCGGCCTCCGCGAGGTTCTTGCGCGGCCCTTTGCCACCTAGTACAAAAATGGTAGAGTTCGTTTCAAACAACTATTGTACATCAACGCCATGACAGTTGCGCGAAAAATCCCGCCAAAGACAGTCATATTGTAACATGACGTCAGAATACTAGTCTGAAACGGACTCTAACACGCATGAGCGAGGCTCTGGCCCACAGACCATCCGTTTCAGACTTGGACACTCAATGTTAATTTTTTAAAAAACTGTTTAAAAAGCGCTAGCAGCGCCAACTACCTTGTCTAAGAAGTAAACAAAACTCGGTTTCAGATCTCCCATTTGAGTGTCACACCTTGCTTTGGCTTCTCTGACTCGCATCTCTCAACGCTTCCCTGTTGCGATCTTCAGCAAACTGTAGTTAACAGTGAGTGCTTATAACAGTTACACGGTTTTATTGTATTTCTAGAAAGTATACACTTTGTTAAAGATATTNAAAAATGAATTCCGTTTTGTCTAGTTAAAACTAGAATTTACTGCTAGTCAAAAATGAATTTGAGTTAAAACTAGTTTTAACTGGACAAAACGGGTTTTAACAAAGACATTCAGTATAAACTAGTTTCAACTAGTTAAAACGCGTTCTAACTAAAAACGGGTTTTGACTGTAACATATATACAGTAAATACCTAATTTTCATTTGTGATTAATTTCTATAAATCCGGACGCTAATTTTCCATTTATATAGAATTTATATAGAATCCAATTTCCCATTTACAGAAAACATGGTATCGCGCAAGTGTATTCCGAATGATCCCCAAGTATTTCCGATTGGCTGCCATACCCGAACGATCGGGATCTGCGAAATTCTTTCTCTACGGCGTTGTTGCACTCGCTCTTAAAGGTGGACGGAAAATATAATCACCCGACAAACACGTATAAATTTAAAAAATGATCAATCAGTAATCCAGAAACGAAATCGATTTTCAACCGAGGGCTTTACCCAAAATTTTATCGATCTCGTTTATATAACTTTAAACAATCGATATTTTCTTTGTACGGCCATTGGAAAATGGGCGACCGTCTAATCGATTTTTGGCAAGAATTTTACTCTCGCGTTTTAATAATAGATTAAAATATTTAACTATCGATAACCGTAACCTCCGTCAGAGCGAAAGATAAATTTCCTAAACGATAGCTCTTCACTAGTTGATCCGCGAAATCAAGTGACTCGACATTTAAAAAAATTTAAATCAAATTTTTCATTATTTGGCAGCATATATTCCGTTTACTGTATTTAAAAAGCAATTTTATTCGTTAAATGATCACGTGAAAAGAAGTAACGCGCGGTACCGTAGTCCCGCACGACGCGAGATTATAATCACGTGACAACCTATGCCCAAAGCCACCGACTATGCCCGGGCGCGTTATTACCGTTTATAAAAATTCAGTTTTAATAATTTAAAAATTAATATTACTTTTGTTAGTTCGTAACTTTCTTTCCGATATACGCAGCAAAAAACGAATAAACCGATGATAAAATCGAGTTGCGGATGATTTATAAGAAACTAAAATCACGCGATACGAAATAGATAAATTACGATTAGGCGAAGGAAATGAAATAAAATTGAATATTATTACGTTATAATTAATTATTAATATTAGCATCGCGTTCCCCCCAAAGTAATAATGAGTAAATAAAACAATAAAATTTGCTAGATTACGTCAGGTCCAGACGATTATTTTAAAAATATACGGAATATTACGGGATTTAATTATTTCTCGTCATTAAAATTTTTATAAATAATTCGCTTCAACAATTGTTAACGAATTTCGGTTTATAAAAATCAAATTTAAAAAATTGGAAACTTCGAATGACTTTTCTTAGAATTTAAATGTCACCGAAGTTACGCGCCGCGTTACGCAACTTCATCCACGCAAAATTATCGCGATACGGTTTCGCTTAAACGCTATTACGCAACTTTAAAATATTTAAAAGTTTAACGCTTCCGTCCACGTATCGCGTTGGTTTTTTACTCGTTATTTCGCGACACATTTATATTTATAGACTATATATATATATAGACCTTTTAATCGACTGCAATTTTACATAATTTGATTACTCTTATCGGCTTACGTTTAACCTAAGAGTGATTTTTTTTATTTCGTAAGGAGTCGAGTGGCGTCGTCCTTTACGTCTCTCGGAACTGTTGGTGGGAAAGCCGACGCCATTACGTTTGCGGATTTGCGGTACGAGTAAGGATCTACGTCACGACCCGTTTGCTCGAGACGAAATTCTCGCTCATTTACAATTTTCCGCCGTAAAAGTCGTCGTCTCGTTCGACAAATATACTATACGTTTCCAAAAAAGTAAAAAAGTAGCTGGATAAGCGGCACGAACCAACTTATTATTATTATTTTTAATCGTCATTCTAAAGGAAATTTAACTAATATTACTGTATTTTTATAAACGTTCCGATTCTTTCGCGCTCGTCCTCGAAATTATAAATGGCCGCGTTTTATAAGGAATGAAACGCGAGATTAAAAACGTAGCTATTTTATAAATAAAAAAAATAAATCTTTTATTATTAAAACAACGAAAAAATAAATTCTACTAATTTTAGTCGGCGTATGTTGGGTCGGCGGAAATATACGGTAATCGGAATGGTTCGATACGTAGTTTAACCTTCGTTTTCTAATGCCGTAACGCCTTAACTGTTTTTGAACGTGGATCTTTGTATTACGTCGTATTTAATAAATATATAACGCGACGTAACGTAAAAGTATATAAAAAAGTAACTGTTGTAAAAGTTTTAAACCAATGGCATTTGATTGTTTTTTATTACATAATAATCATTATAAAGTAATAATTCGTAAAAATTTTAAGCTCCGTTAACTAAAAAGTGTCGACGGTTGTTTAGCGCCAAACGATTTTGAACGGTTTCTGCGCACGCTCGGTTAGACGTCGGTACGTCGTCATCCGGGATATCGTAGTTATCGCGCGTTGCTCGTCCTGTTACGAAGGCGGGAAGACATATTTGTTGACATTTACTTTAGCCTTCGTTTTTCCAGCAAATAAAAGTAAGTTAACGCGTAATTTGTGCTCCTTTCGTAGCCTTACGAGGTCGTTGGTTAGTTACGTGGCTTACAATTCGTTCTCCGCCACGGATCGTCCGCCTTCGGATCCGATCGTCCAGACTTTTTTATCCGGAAAGAAATTCCCGCCTCTTTATTAATATAAATTGTCGTATTTGAATCAAAAGTAAATATTATTTGAAATTATTTTTCTTGTTTCGATGGTAAAAGTTATTATTAAAAGCGTCGCATACGTATTTTGCACAGATATCGATATTGATCAGTTTACCATTGATTCGGTAGGGGGCGGAGTTTGATTAACTCGTTATTTAAATTTCCAATCGATAGGTATTATTTGAATTTTTAAATATATTTTTTAAAATTGGAAATGTTTGTACGCATTTGTGGAGGAATATTGATTGACGATTTGATACATTTCTAATTTATACAGTTGTGTACGGGAACGTGTAAAATAACTTACTGCAGATATTTCCTGGTGTTACCGTGTACGCTGCCTAACGTTTTAATTGAACCGTTTTAGTTTTTTTTTAACACGTGCTTGAGTAAATTATATAAAGTTGTTTTGTTTTTTCCAATTTTCTTCGTTCTATTCGCATTTCTTTTCGTTTTTATCGTAACGTTCCCTTCCAACCACCAGGATAACGCGTGCGTAAAAATGCCCCGTGTGTCGGTTTTTGTCATTTTAGTGCCAGTTTGTCTAAAAATTTCTGTTTAAACGTAAAGCTAAACGCGGTTTATTGACGCCAGACTAAAGATTGATATAATGCGATAAACAATACCGTCAAAAGTTATTCTTCTGTGTACAATTACATTAATATTTTAAAGATTAACGGATATTTCTAACGGAATGAATTTGCTACTATGTCACTCGTCAAATTCGGCTTTGGACGACTGGTAGACGGTTTTCTTCTTCTTTCGATCGGAAGCGAAATTAGCATTTAATTTTTGTTTAGTGGATTGTTTTTAAAATCAGTTCTTGTTAATTCGTCAATACGTAGTTGAATTATTTCTTTTCCTGTATAATAGTTGAGAATTTGACCAGCGTCTTCCTTTCTTTCCTTCCTTTTCGACGACGTCACAATTATGGTCAGTACGTGATGTGTCATCAGTCGATATTTACACACGCATCGCGATGAAAGGTCGGTAGCGAAGGACCGAAAACATATTCTATCTTCGTTTCGTTATTTTCTGGTAAAGTGATTGATTATCGTGTTAAAGTATCCGTATAATCGACTGTTGCATCGGTAACCTATTATTCAGTTAGAGAATAAGATTTTACAACACGCATTCTGACAATCGTAGTGGTTGAATTGATAAAATGAAAAAAATGACCATTAACAGATTTCTGTCACGTATTTTAAATTTAATAGGCTGCATATATGTAGTTTATATACAGTAGCCATATCCTTCTAAGGAAAATCGATATTGATGCTTAAAGGCTCGTATCGATCTTTGCATAGGAGGAAATAAGGGTAACATACGTTACAATAAGCCACTATAACGTATGTTTTAAAGACAATTAATTAAACGTAATTTTAAACACAATTAAATTAATCTTGTCAATAATCTAGCTATCTTGTTGTTTTTAATTATGACGAGAAGAATTTACGGTGTCGGCGTATGACGGGCCTTGTTTATTTTCATCGTTTAGCATTTTTTACTCGCATTTCCTAATATCCTCTATGTAATCTAGTGCGGGAAATGACAAATATTCACGATATCTCAATAACATTTAAATCTCTTCCAGCAGATGTTTTATTCATTTTACCAATGTAAAATAATAATAAAGTGCCGTATAATCGTTATATATTTAAAACTCATTGCTAATAGCATTATCAAAATTTTCTATTTTTAACGTTTATGGTGAAACTTGTAAAGGTCGAGTCAAGGAATGAAATGCTTTCCTCTTTCTTCCTTTTTAGATTATCTGAAATTGATATTGATTTAGTTATATATTATGAAAGAACAGTTATTTGGATTTCGTTTAATTAATACGTAGAGATTATAATCTGGAGGCCAAACTAAAGTCAACTTTTTCAGTTTTAGTTTTAATATAAATATTGATCTGGGTATAAATTCTTGGTGCAGTTTTGATCGAAGTGATTCTGGCTTGGTGCCAGACGTCTGAGCGAGTAGCCCTCCTCACCTTTGCCTGTGGAAGAATCAGAGGTGGTGTAATAACAGGTCACACTACTGCTAACTTCGTCCTACCCTCCACAATAGAATGGTTAAAACCGAGGTGCTGTAAATGAGGGGTGATTACTGCTGACCTTCAAACTCTCTCTCCTAGTTAACTCGCTGTATATTGAGTTTAAAATACGCTTATTTTTTATCCATCGAGGTTTATAATACCGCAAGTAACCGTTTATTGATCTAGTAACAGGTTATTTTAGGAATCCTGTCTAATTAGCAAACTATCCGATATACTTCTAATATATATATTATTGTTATATAACATTCGAGACGTATCATAGTGATTTTTAGGAACGGGTTTTGTACATAAGTAGGCGAACTGCATTTCTGATTTGTCGCTTGACCAGATTTTTGTGAATTATCTCCATTTAGGAGTTTTTATTCTCTTTGTTTTTTAAAGTTGCTTTATTACACGTGGAGCGTGTAACTAAAATAACACGTGGTACAGCGTGTTGGACTATATTTATGACTAATAAATGAATTGGAACCGCATCCTTTATCTCGTTGTCATGGTTACGGATTTATTTTCCAGTCGTTCCGCTTCTCATCTTTGAAGATAGAATGGATTCTACGAATTCGAATTTGAAATTTTGTCGAAGTAAATAAAAATTCTTATACTGTTGAAATTTTGTTTCATTTAATTTAACATGTTATATTGTAATGACTCGACATTTTCTTTCCATCACGTAGGAAAGTCTCATGTGATTTACAGTAATTTATTAATTAAAATAATAAAGAGAACGGTTATTTCCAAGCCGATTTATATAAATAACCGCGGCGATTGCAAAAAAAAAAATCACGATCTTTGTCCTTGAGCAGTTAACACGTTTAACACTTCGCTGTAGCATTAAAAGTTTATTTGTTAGATATTATTCGGATGCATAATTTGCTGTAATAATCAAATACATCTTTTGTCTGATTCCAAATACAATGCCATAAAGCTAATTAAATTCGTTATATTTTTATATTTAGAAAATATAAGTACTTGTAACAATTTCTTAGGGATTGATTATGTGCTGTACAGTACATAGTTTAAGCTATTTCAGCAAAAATACATTGCAGAAACTTGTAATAATAAATTATTTTAAAACTAGTTATTTTATAGTGATGCCTTTTAAACAAAATATTTTTATCTACTCTAAAATCATCTGGTTGTGTCGGTAGTAAAATATGAATCAATATATAAGTTTTGTTCGACCAGGGGCATAAAATGATAAACGATTTTATTAAACATTTGGAACGTAAACAAAAATTTCAAGAAGTTGTAATGCTTTCAAAATTTTTAAAATTCTTAAAAATTGGCAATCGTTTTCCTGGAGAGACAATAAATACTATTTTAGAATTTTAATGTAGTTATCTTTATGATTTATTAGAATTTTACACTAATCTTTTAAAATAATAATAATAGTAAAACAGTAGTTATCTGAATAATATTTTTTCTTTTCTTACTTGCTGTGTAAATAAGTGGTAAGCACTTTTGTCATTCAGCTACTTTTTGTTTTGAAACAGCTTACTATCTTACTTTCCAAAAATATCCAACTCCGTATACATACATTTGTGCTGTACTTTCAATCAATCAGTGATCTGGTTAATCTTTATATTATATCCATTTATATTAATTTATAGATATTATGTGGTAAATCAGTTACAACCTTTAACATTTCTGTGCAGATACTTAGTAAAGATTTAGTTATTAGATTGTAATAATAAAATATGGTTTATTTTCTTTAAGTATTTAGGATGCCGGTTCAAAGAAGAGTGCGAGGATCGTATTGGTTACGTTTAAGAATCAGAAGTGCTCGCAGACTAGAGAAAAGCAATTGCTGGTGTCTTTTAGGAAATAATGCTATAAGCAAATCAAATTTAAATATTCACTCGTCAAATGATCATTTAAGAAACTGTAAATTCTCAATAAATGGTCGAACGGAAAAAGTAAGTGAATTTGACTGTTGCATTTCTAATGATGTATTTTCAATTTATACATAAAATAACTAAATAAAATTTAAAACATTTTAGTTGTATGTAAGGAAAAAATGTTTTAAAAAGAAAAAGAAGGATGCAAGGATTTGTAAATCCACCGATAACAAATTGGATGACTCTTTTATTACAAATATATCTTGTAAGAAAAGAAGTTCTAGCAAAGTAACTAGATCAGGTAATTGAATATTTTTCAATTTAAAAATATGCGTTGAAACATTTTGAACGACATTTATTTGAAGCTTAACTTTATTCTTCAGCAACATTAATCTCTACTGAAATCGAAATCTGTAAATTATCTGAGCAAGCAGGAGCTCTCTTTTCTCCTGTATATCAGTTTTTAGAAGGTTAGTCAAAGTTAGAAATAAATCTTTCCAAAGGTAAACTGTTGATAAGTTTATAAAAGTTCTTTCATACGTAATATATTCTTTTCAGAAAATAAAGCTGATACAGAAAAGATTACACTGTTATCCTTAGAAGAAGCAACTAAAGAAATTAACAGGGTATATGAACATGCTTCTTTACAAACTCAATGTGATATTTCAGGTTGGTTCTAATTCATATTTCTACTTTAGTTTTATGTATTTAAACTAGTTTTTATATTAAATAAAATATATATTATACCATAACTCTAAGAACCTATGATATTAAAATAATCATTTTAATTTCTGTTATTGTTTGCTACTTTTAAAACATGAGTTTGTATTTTTCATATAACTAGCACTAAACGATAGATAAATTTACTCGTATTACATACATTTTGTAAAGCTTTCAAAATTTCATAGTTATCATATTTAAAGTTTTTGATTTATTATTTTATTACTTTCCTGGCTGTTACATATAATAGAGGAAAAGTATGGCGATCAGTGAAAAAAATGACCCTCAATATTTTTACATTTTTGGACTTAGAACGCCTTGAAATTTCAATAAATGCAAAAACATTTGGGGGTATTTCTGTATGTATGTATGGATGTTTGTGTGTGTGCACCACAGTTTTTTCACCCTATTTGAAGCTTAATTATGCTTTTTGTCAAAAATCTGTGAAATTTTGCAGGAAGGTTTGTTTCTTCTACTAATTAATTTACTTTAATATATTATATTATAATAATGTAAGGATGGATAATCAGTGGCTAAGTGGCTATCACTCTTACCAGTTTTCTTATATAGGCTCTACATATCAGTCTGTAGTTATTTATAAGTAATTTAACCACTTACAGAATAAGAGTTAAAAACTCTTACTTAATAGAATTAGAAAAGTTATAAAATATTAGTCTTGTCTTGAATAAAGTATTTTAAAGGATTAAATAAAATAAAATCAATCACTTATTTTTTCGTGTTATTTTTTTTATTTCATATTATTTTTTTTTATCATCAAATATGTTTTTTGTCATCAAATATTTCTTTGTCATTTAACATGTTATCATGTTATTTTTTTTGACTTTTCTGGAAGTAGGATCTCAAAAAACAAATAGTATTAATGGTGTTGTCTCCCAACCTACTTCTTAATTAATGAACCGCATATATATCCCGCTGCAGAGAAGGCCCTTTCAGCCTCTACGCTAGTTGGTTTCAGGGTCANATAGTTTATTTACATGCGCTGTTACTTAAGCTTTCTCCTATTTTGACATATTAAAAAGTTACATTTTTGTCTTAACGTAATAAACATACTTTTATTCAACATTCACCATCAGTGCATGCTGAACGTCGACATTTGCCGGTGTAAGTGAGAAATAATTATTTTTTAAAATAAAAAGTAAAACATCTGGATACGAGTCCAATTTTTCTTGCCATGTCTAATCACCAGGAACAACTATTTCCATTGCAGAGATAACCTTTTTTTAGAGGCTATGCGTCTGCACAAATATGTAAAACAGTTTAAAATGTCCTTTTCTACAAACAGTTTAAAATGTCACCTGTGGACATTTTAAACTGTTTTACATATTTGTGCAGACGCATAGCCTCTAAAAAAAAAGGTAACTCTGCAATGGAAATAGTTGTTCCTGGTGATTAGACATGGCAAGAAAAATTGGATTCGTATCCAGATGTTTTACTTTTTATTAAATTGTAATTCTGCCAGCCCTTTTCTACAAAGAAATAATGATATTTAGCAAATATTTCGTACATACACGAAAAGACTGTGTGAATGCTGACATTCACCGGAGAATGTTAACATTCTCCAGATATCGGTCATCCACAGTAACATAGGGGAAGGGAGGGCAGGATGGAAGGCTTAACTTTATGATGTAAAAAAACATAAAACATCATAATATAAAGCTNAATAGCAAAGGTAATTCTACTAATTAATTTACTTTAATATATTATATTATAATAATGTAAGGATGGATAATCAGTGGCTAAGTGGCTATCACTCTTACCAGTTTTCTTATATAGGCTCTACATATCAGTCTGTAGTTATTTATAAGTAATTTAACCACTTACAGAATAAGAGTTAAAAACTCTTACTTAATAGAATTAGAAAAGTTATAAAATATTAGTCTTGTCTTGAATAAAGTATTTTAAAGGATTAAATAAAATAAAATCAATCACTTATTTTTTCGTGTTATTTTTTTTATTTCATATTATTTTTTTTTATCATCAAATATGTTTTTTGTCATCAAATATTTCTTTGTCATTTAACATGTTATCATGTTATTTTTTTTGACTTTTCTGGAAGTAGGATCTCAAAAAACAAATAGTATTAATGGTGTTGTCTCCCAACCTACTTCTTAATTAATGAACCGCATATATATCCCGCTGCAGAGAAGGCCCTTTCAGCCTCTACGCTAGTTGGTTTCAGGGTCATCAAATAATTATAAATCAAAGATAAGTTTTCACTTCTGACTCCCTCACTTTCATAAACAGCCATTTCCTTTTTTAATAACTTATCATAATCCTTCTCAGTACTAGTTTCTTTCCGTTTCATGAAGTTTTCTTTCTCATGCTTTAGTTGGATCTCCAATTCTTGTTCCAAGGTGAAATTCAGGGAATACGGGTTATCTGGATCATTGTTTTCCACCTCCATAATCTCCTCTGCCATTGCTGCTGGTTCCACTATATATGTATTTACACGATTCAGCATATTTTTATCTCCTGGCACATTATATTTTTTTCGGCATTGTGAAAGAATAATTGGGCTTTCTAACTTTTTGGTCATACTTCTTCAGGTTCTATATGTAAATTAGCATCCCCATGACCTCGGTAAGACGCCGTTCTCTGATTCTTTTGCGGAGTGCCTCGGAAAGGTCGGTACTCAAGATCGTGTCCTGGCTTTTTAGTTTGTCTAAGACAAATTTCAGGGTTGTGTCAGCAGTTATCAAACTCAACTCTCTTCTACAGAGAGCTTCTACGACCAGTTTAACCGGTTGAAGACTGGTGATCAACTCATTGATTAGTGACCACTTGTCAGAAGAGAATTTAGTGTCTGATCCAGTGTCTATTAAGGCTTTATCAATGCAAACTTTTACACTGTAGAAACGTTCCAGCATGTTGAGGAGAGTGTTCCACCTAGTGCGGCAGTCATGAATCAAGCTCAGTTCTTTGCCCTTCGCTTCTTTTACATATTTTTGCAAAAACATATCATCTTTGGTTGGTGATTTTTTAAAAGTCTTAACAACTTTTTGCACTTTTTTAAGAAGTTCACTGTATCGTGGAATCACTTCAGGTTCAGTTGGTGTCGGTGTTGGTTCAATGACTATTTCTAAGCCTTCATTGGTCTCAGTGTCTTCGTCATCATATTCGTCACTTTCATCTATCTCTGTGTGTTCTTCTTCTTTTTGATCTTTCTTTTTATACAAAACGTCTACCACAGCTAACTGGATTCCATGTGCAAAGCACAGTTGCTGATAGCAAGGCAAGAGTCTACCAACTTTCACCATAAAGCTTGTGCCATCAGTAGTGATACCAATGGTGTCGGTTTCAAAGTTTAAGCCAAATTTTTTCAACCGTTCTGATACTAATTCAATGCAATATTCGTCAGTGCAGGATCCATGAATTCTGATCAAGCCAAGATTAAAATGAGTCTCTTTATGATGCACGTTGAGATTTATGTATTTCTTTCTAGACTGCATATTGTAATATCAACACACTTACTAAAACACCTTTTCTTGCAGCCGACGCTTTATTATAACAACTTTCAAACGTTTTCGGTCTTGTTAAAAGACCTTTCTCATAATAAAGCGTCGGCTGCAAGAAAAGGTGTTTTAGTAAGTGTGTTGAGATTTATGTATCTATGATTTTTTTGTGATGTCCACTCATCAAAGCTTAACGAAAATCTTTAACCCTTTTCTTTTAATTTGCGATTTTTTTTATTAAATCCGCTTCGATAGTTTTAGCATAATTGGTAATCATCGACCTTATGGTGTTGGGAGAAGTTGGCAATTGGAATCCATTTTTTGCGAACAAACGTCTTAACAACTGAACTTCCTATCAAATACTGGAGGTAATATACTTCCTTCTACCAGTACGACTAGGGATTGCAACCTTCCAAATCTCCAGTGATACAAACGTCTTAAATCGGAAGATGTACAAAATGAACTTGGTGTAAAACTATCTTTGCACACCATCCTTGTAATCATGGCTTCCATCGAATTTTCTTTTACAAAATAGGCATCAATACTCTTCTTGGCCTTTTTGTTCGGTATAATACCTACTTCCTGATCATCGACATTTTTTGATGTAGATGCTATTGCTGTGGGAACTACTGTATCTGTATTACGAAGTGGTAATTTGCTGTTTGCAGAATTAACGTTGACGCAGTGTATCTTTTGCAGATGGCGTTTTTATTTAATTAAGCCTGTCATTGAACGGTTACTAATCAGCAAAGTTTTTGAACATAATAAGCATTTTACACTTCGACTATCATCCAATTTTTTAAAATAGTCCCACAAGTTTTTTTATCATCATTCTCACCACATTTCTCTTGCTGACTTGGCTTTGTAAGAGACATTATTCAGTATGAATTCGAATTGTAGTTTTATTATTATTATGTAACTGTGAACTGACTGAACTGGCTTGATATCTGAAAAAATAAATTAAAAAATTTTGATTTAAAATGTACATACTACATACCTAATAAATTTTATTGCCAAGGAGCTGAAGCAGCACTAAACTAACCAAGTTTGATCCAAATCGTTAGAGCCATTTTTGTGGTAAATAATTCAATTTTCATTTAAGATCATGTGACGTGTCACAGACGCCCCTGGCATTTTTTTAGTCGCAATTTTTCCGAAATTTTTCAAAAAATTTTAAAAAATTCAAGTTCTCTCATTTCTTTGAGCTGCAAAAAAGACAATAAATAACGTTTTTATTGCGCACCGAGTTTATTCAGGAAAAAAAGTCGAAAAAGTGCCGGTGTCTCGCAGCTGAAGCGGCGTTCCGTAACGTGATTCATTGACGTCACAACTGACCGTAAATTATAATTATGCACCAGGACTAGGAGAGGAGTTACTTATTTTATTTAGCGAGATCGAAAAGTCAACTGTCAATTAGATCAGCAGAGGTAAAAGGACGGGTGCGGTGTAGAGAGGGAGTGTAGCACGTGCTGCATT